TATGTATATATATATATATATATATATATATATATATATATATATATATATATATAGATATATATATATATATATATATATATATATATATATATATATATATATATATATATATATATATATATATATATATATATATATATATATATATATATATATATATATATATATATATATATATATATATATATATATATATATATATATATATATATATATATATATATATATATATATATATATATATATATATATATATATATATATATATATATATATATATATATATATATATATATATATATATATATATATATATATATATATATATATATATATATATATATATATATATATATATATATATATATATTACATAAAATCTCAAATAAAAACTTTAAAATTTTATAAATAATAAAAAATGATAAATAAAAAATTTATTTAAAAAAATAAGAAATGAAAATAAATTAACCTTAAATAAAAGCAAAATATTAGCTTTTATTTCATGTTTTTCAAAATCACTCCACATGAATCTGCAGATTTTGTACAAAATTCTGTGCAGATATATGTGCTAGTGTATATCTCTATATGTATTATACAGCGAAGGAAATAAGTATGAAACATGTGCACCATTTTTCTTCAAAATCATATTTCTAAAGGTGTCGTTGACTTGAAATTTTCACCAGACGTCGATAACAACCAAAGAAATCCACATATGCAAAAAAAAAAAAAAACAGTTTATGAGTGAAGTTCTGTGTAATAAAATGAAATGATGCAGGGAAATGTATTGAACACATGAAAAAAGGAAGGTATAGAAAGGTAGTGAAAGCCCAGACAGCAGCTGAAATCTTAGTAGTTCTTCAGCAATCATCTGCCCTTCCTTAGTGTAAATGAATATCATTCTGTCCAACATCTACATTAGCAGGAGGATGAAGATGAAACCAGGGTGGACATTTCAGCAAGACCATGACCCAATGAGAGAGAGATGCATATATACTTTCACACACCATATATACAGTGCAACTCCATATATTGCATCTTATCATAAATAATATGTATCCTCTCACATATATCAAAAATGCATATAATATTTATGACGAAAGCATATACCATATCCTGTTCTCACATTACTCCATACCATATCACATCATGCAAGCAACTGATCTAATGAAATGCAATATTTATGATGTA